CTCAACCGGCTGGCGGCACGCGGGGACTTCTGCCCCGTCCTGCAGGTCTTCTTCCCCTTCAGCATCCAGCTCTACCCCCACGAGTTCCCCGGCCACGACCCCCGCGACTGCCCCCGCGACGTGGGCAAGGCGGCAGCCCTGCGCCTGGGCTGCATCAACGCCGAGTACCCCGACTCCTTCGGGCACTACCGCGAAGCTCGCTTCTCCCAGACCAAGCACCACTGGTGGTGGAAGCTGCACTTCGTCTGGGAGCGGGTGCGGGCGCTGCGGGAGCACGCCGGGCCCGTCCTCTTCCTGGAGGAGGACCACTACCTGGCGCCTGACTTCTACCACGTCCTCAAAAAGCTCTGGGCGCTGCGCGAGCGGGAGTGCCCCGAGTGCCAGATCGTCTCCCTGGGCACCTACAGCCCCGTCCGCGGTGGCTTCGCCGGCCGCGCCGACAAGGTGGAGATGAAGACGTGGAAGTCCACCGAGCACAACAGGGGGATGGCCTTCGGCAGAGACACCTACCAGAAGCTCATCGAGTGCACGGACGCCTTCTGCACCTACGATGACTACAACTGGGACTGGACTCTGCAGCACTTGACTGTCTCTTGTCTTCCAAAGTTCTGGAAAGTGCTGGTTCCCGAAATCCCCAGGATCTTTCACACGGGGGACTGTGGCATGCACCACAAGAAATCCTGCAGACCATCCACCCAGAGTGCCAAAATCGACTCTCTCTTGAACAGCAACCAACAGTACCTGTTTCCCGAAACGATGAGTGTCAGTAAAAGGTACTCCATGGCACCCCTTTCCCCTCATGTGAAAAACGGAGGGTGGGGAGATATTAGGGACCACGAACTCTGTAAAAGTTACCGCCGACTTCAGTGAGGATCGTTCTCGCAGCCTTTTTCTTTTTGAGTTGTTCCATACTGTCTTTTACAGGCACACACGTGTATAAAAAGCATTTATGAGTTGGTTTCTGCTTTAATATGAATAAACATTCTTGTAAAAGGTGTCCCAAAATAGTAATCTTTCATGTTCGGCAACCAGGTTTTGCAAACAGGTTACTTGCTGCTGCTGGGCCGCTCGGAGCAGCATCGCAGCCCCTAGGCAAAAAGTGACGGCTGCCGTCTTTACTGGGAGGAGGAGGAGGAGGAGAAAATTTGTCTTTAAGTGCATCTTTTCTGGTGCTTACAGTGCTCCGGCGTGGGGTTTTTCCCCCATCAGAGCGGTGCTGCCCGCGGCGCCGCGCTGGGGGTGGTTGAGGAGCAGGAGAGGGGACCGAGCCCTCCCGAGCTCCGGCCCCGGTGGGAGCCGGCCTTCGCCCGCCGCCTCCGCCGGCAGTACCGGCACTTCCCACCGTCCCACCCGGGGTTGCTTCATGCCCGATACCCGTGTCCTGGTTTGGTTGCGATGAATATATGAAGGAAAAAAAAAATTTCATTGTTTTTACTACAATGTAGATAAATACATGATTTTTTTTAGTTCTGCCGAAATAAAATTCAGTTGTTTTGTAATGCCAGAGAAGTTCTTGATTCTCACAAAAAGATGATGTCATCTCATGTTGCTAGAAAGAAAGTCAGGACTGGGGGGGCGGGAGGTGTCTTGTCTTTAATCCGGAGGGCTGAACACATGCCGTCACCCGTTCGAGTAGCGTGCATTTAACTTCATTAAATTTTTAATGATGCTCACTAATTGAGGCAGAATAGAGTAACAAATGGGTGGCACGACACCTCTTTTGTTTGGATCAAAAAAAAAGTTCGCTTTCAAATTCGTCGGCTGTGTAAAACGACCAGTAAAAAATACTGCTGTGTAATGGAAACACGCTGAACTGGAGCCGAAAGCCGTGGACGGGGGAGAGCAGAGCCGTTCGTTAACATCGAGCACTTCCTCGCCTGTTCCGAGTCTAGCCGCGCGGCTGCTTTAACGGCACTCCGCTTTGAAGCACAACTGGTAGCAGTAGCACATGAGCAGCTTTTTGTAGAACAGAGGAGCATGTTAAAGGAAACGCTACGCTAAGGTGACAGGCATGCGACATTTAGAGGTAGATTTTATGCTGAGAGATTTGGAGAGGAAAAAAAAAAGCAGCTTTTTTTTTTAATTAGAGAAAATGGGGTTGGTGCTCCTAGGACTCCGGCTACAGCAGTTACTGACGAATGGCAGGGCACGCAGCAAGGCTTTTCTTTTACCACCATTTGTCACCTGCTTTACAGGTTGCAAATATATCGGTTAAACGTTGATTTAAGAGAGCACCAAGTTTTGTGAAATAGTGTCAGCAGTACGCGGATGTTTATTGTGACCACGATAAGATGCTCTTTTTTTTCTTTTTTAAATTACATGGGGTAATTTAACTGCCAGGATTTTGTACCAGCTGTGGTACTTGCTCCATTTTCATAGTTTCACCGAGTCAGAGCTGATGCTGCAAAAGCCATGCCTGTGCCTCAGCCCGTCGACACCTCCCACAAGGAGCTGCGCGACTGTGTGACAGAGCTGATGGGGGTGAAACTTCACCCAGCAAACCGCTTACCCTCCTTCAGCTGGGTCGGTGTTGTGCTGCCGTAGAGGGCAGGGCCAGGTGCTTTTGGCCGCTGTGGCTTCCGCTGAACTTGCTTAGAATAGAGCTTACACCGTGTACCCCCACTGCATGCACTCGCATTTAACGTAGAAATGGAAGAGTAATTCCAGAGCAGCTGTGAAAGAAGTCACATTTAACTTTCTTCTAAAGCACATCTGTGTCTTGTACAACTCAAAAGAAAACAGAAGTTATTTCAGAAGCAGTGAGAAAGGGAACTGAAAGTTTCTTGTTATTAAATATGTTCTTTTGGTTATCGCACTTTAGAGAGACGGACCAGCAAACAGCACGCTGAAGCTCATGGGGAACTGTTTCTGAAAAGTAAACCTAATCTGGATAAAGTGAATCCATTTTACAAACTGTACACACTCAGTAGCAGACGTGCAACAAGAGAGGATGTTTTTATTGTGCAATTGAATTCGTTCGGTTGACAGACTGGGGTATGTTTGGATGCCGTGTTCTGAAGTAATGTGCTAGGATGGAATACATGGTGTAAGTGTTGATTATTTCTGGGAGACTAATTAGAACTTCTCCATGTAATTAGAAATTTCATTTGATTGCTAAAAATCAGTGCAAGTCTAATCTTGCAGTTATCACAAAATGAAACGTTTGAAAAATGATGAATACTGCTCATTTCTAGGTGGACTAAACACAGCAATTCCCGAGGGAGCCATTAGAAAAAGGATATATACAAATAATCCCTGTAACGTAGCAAGAGACTAAGAAAGTCATGTAAACAATAAATATAAGATTCCCCTTCAACTGCATCTTTCTTGTAAGTAAAACTATTTCAGCCCATACATGTGATCTGAAGTTAATAGGTCTGAATCTTCTAAAATTGTTAACAACGTAAGTATTCTATGTTGACGCGTAAACAAAACGGTTTCGGTAGGAACCTGTGTTCTACTCTTAGCCCTGAAGTCATAAACCAGCATGTGGAAGTCGCAGTAAGCCTCGAACAACAGAAGGAAATCCCAAAATAATTAAACTAGTCCAATTCATACAGCAAAGAATTCTGAAACGCGACCGGGCAGTGCGTTACGTGATCCCTAACGATCTGCACGCTCCCATCCCGCGTGCTCACTTCTTGGAGAGCTGGGGAGGCTGGCCTGCTCTCCGAGCTGCGTTGGTTCCCCTGTGCCAACCCTGCGGGCGCAGCCGCTTCATCCCCTTCTGCTTTCGCCCACCCCTCCAGCAGAAGGCCTGCTTGTTTTTCAGAGTCCGCGGCCACGGCCGTTTCGCCTACTGCAACGGCACTTTCTAAATCTGGTTCCTTTCTCCTAGATTCGCCAGGAGTCGCTGAACTGGTGTCAGAAGGTTCATGCTGCAAACAATGGTGTGAACTACAACCTACTTTTCCTATTGTTTCAGCTGTTGCAAAAGAAGTGGAAGTTTTGTTGGTTTCTGCAGCACGTTCTTCTTCAGCTGTGTCAGCTGCAGTACAGTTTGTTTCTGCCTTTGCTTGGGGGTAGTCGCCATTCGTCTTTTCAGCGAGATCTCCTCCTGAGCTGCTAAGCGTTTGTTGTTTTCCGTCACGTTCAGAATGGACTGCTTCCTGCGGCTGTCGAGAAAATAAATGAATTGTTTTATAGTCGAAACGGACTGGGCGCACAAAACTGCTGTAAAGACAGGCCAAGACACCTGCTTCTCCAACATCTACTTCCAGAAAGCGGAGTCAGTGCGGTCCTGAGGTTTTCCTGATCTTGTACCGCACGCGTGGGAATGAGTGGCAGGGAGGTTGTTTGCCTCCCAAGGCTTTCCTCTGCAATAGGAAATGCTGCTGGGACGCTGCCAAGTGGCCACAGCCCAGGGAGGTTGTTTGCCTCCCAAGGCTTTCCTCTGCAATAGGAAATGCTGCTGGGCAGCTGCCAAGTGGCCACAGCCTCTGTCACAATTAACAGCAGGGAAGACTGGCAACTCACCACACCCTGGCTGTTGTTTTCTAGAACTCAGGGACCACAAAATCAGCCAAGGGATCTTAAACTCTCATTGCAAGAAGTGTGCTTTAACCTTGCGATTAGGGAAATCTCCGTCCTGTCGTATGTGAAAGGTGTAACTGGGAAGTGAGCTGTCTTCCTCAATCGGCCTAAGTGAGTTAACCCAGGAATTGCTACGGTTTGCCTCAGGAGAGTATGAACTGGGAGACCCGGTGCCGTCTACATAGCAGCTACCCAATTTCACCATTACCTATTGACTGCTTTAGCAAAAAACAGCTGGTAACTCGTATGTCCCTATCAGTGGACAGTCAGGATCAGGCAGGCATCTGTCCAGGAGCAGCTGGATTCATGGATTCAAAGACTGAGTCGCTCTCTCGCACACCCAGCCCTCTCTGACCCTAAAACCAGTGCTCACTCCAGCAAGAAACAAAAGAAACACTAGTAAGTCCTTCTCAGCACTGGATGATTCTCCCACGTGAATGTCCGAGGGATTTAAGATATCTTAGCTTCCCTTTCTCAGGTACCAAAACGTCCACATTTGCTCTCCAACAATCTGAATTTTAAATTTTTATGTACAGTCCACACCAGCTACAAAAGGTAAGCCTGTCAAGTAATGCTGGAGCCTATCTTTAGGCTAAACTCCTCAGTCCTCCACCAGCATAGTTCCAGAGGTCACATGCTTCGTCTGAACTTGCTTTCCAAGAAGCTGTCTACTCATTAACTATATCTGCAGTCTCCAGTTTATGGCCACAGAAGTAACCTGATCGTCCCTGCATATTATCTTCCCGTGTTTCCTTTAAGAAAAGTTTTAAATGAATTTCTGATGCAGTGTCTACCAAGGAACCCCAGTCGATTCGGGGGTTTTACCTCACATTTTCCTCCTCACAAAACTAACTTTTTGTTTTCTTCATCTGTCCATCTCCTACGTTGCAAAGGGAGGTCATTTTAATCCCGTGGCAGACCTCAGAAACAGACTACCTTGCATCCTTTATGTAGACAGGGTGACTGAGGAAGAAGGGTAGCCTGAATGAGACCTTAAACATTACAAGCAGTGAATTTGAGACCAGCGTTTAAGATGACTACTGCCATGCTTAGTTATCTACACAATAGGAAACCACCAAGTATTCAAACGCTTGGACCGAATAAAGATAATGAGCCCCAATTCTTCACAGTCAAAATCCTCAAGGTTTTCTCTATCTGTGTGACAAGGCAGAGGGAGTGAAGCAGTGGCCGTGACTGAGCACCCTCTGTCCGTCTTAACGAGCCCTTTCCAATTCCCGCTCCCAGTGGCCAGGTTCTTCGCCTCTCTACTCCCTCCCAACCCCAAGCCCCTCCAGGTAAGTTCACTTCTGGACCGAACACCCGGAAAGGCGTCTGTGCAGAAGACGGCATGCTTCAACTGCGGGCTCCGGTACATGAACCCAAACTTTTGGGTATTTGAAGGACGTGGATTATTCACTGTTTTATTCTGGTTTTGTTCTGATGACATCTGCCCTGAGTTGTTTGTAGCACGT